CTCTTCCCATCTTTGAATCTATTCCCTCCATTTCAAAATTCTGTATAAAATCTGTATAATTATTCTGTACTTGTAGCAAGATTCAGCTCTATGATGGACCCGTATTCTTTTGAAAAAAGTGTACGTTAATTTTTCTAATGTAAAAGACTTGTCATTTTCAAATGTTTTTACTTTTCCTGTATGGACATATTGTCTATTCGAGCAGTGATGAAAATCAGAAAAAAGTATAGGAAACAAGAAGATTTAAATGCAGCTTTTGTCAAAATAAAGAGAATAAAATTGTGCATCTTTCACACACAAGGAAACCCTTCCAAGAGAATTTTTAGGCCTTGTATGGGAGGGATTAAAATCGGATTAAAATTGAAAATATAGCCGTTATTGTTGACTTTTATTAGACGGGTGGGACCCAATAACGGTCATATTTTCAATTTTAATTGAATTTTAATCACTCCCGAACGGGGCCTAATGAACTTGTGTTTTGTTCCGAGTTCTAGCTATATAACTAAATTTTAGTTATATCAACTATTATTTATGAAACTGAAAAAAATAAAATAAAAATTACGCTATAGTTAACATTTCAATATTTTTTTTTTAACACTATAAGATGTTAGATAGAGTCGCATGTCTTTTAAATATTGTTTTCAATACACTGCTCAAGTGTAAAAAAGCTTAACAGGAGATTTTAACTCCTCACGTTCATGTTATGTACCATTTATTTCAAAAACTCAATCGGTTAGATATAATCGAATACATCACATTGAAATAGTCTTCAACAATATTTTATTTATGGTATAATTTGGTCTCAAAATGACTATACAAGAAGTTCAAATTTATTTTTAGTAGGTTATAGTCATTTTTTTTAAATTGCTTTTCCTTATATTTATCCAAAAATATAAAAAAGATTATCTTAAAACTACTTATCACCTATCAACCTTTTAAAGAAAATTGCAGTGGGTCCCTAATATATATTTTTTTAACTCAACCATCCCAACCTTTGAAAAAATGAACAGCTCAAGAACCTTTAAACAATAACCTTCCAAACGTCGGTAAAATGTGGCATGTGTAATGCACGTGTCTAACTTTCATAGGAGCAAAGAGAGTAATATATGATTATGATTAAAATAATTAAAAACTAAAGAATAGACAAGAACGAAAGAAAGAGAGAAAACAATTGAAGAAGTCATCTTCCCCGACACACACCCCATCCCACTCCACCCTATCAAGCCAAAACTTATTACTATCACCATCCCCATCCCTACAACATGTTATAGTCGCTCACCAACAACTAGTCACCGATAGTCTTAACCAATTCCACATCCAAAACTACTCGATTGCTCAATTTATACATGTAATTTACTCATGAATCTTTTAATCTTTGATCACAAGAAAATTCAAAACACGTGGTAGGGCGATGAATGCTAGAGAAGCTAAGTGATTTGGAGGCATTTTCCTAGGTTTCACAAATCGATCCCCATAGTTTGGGAATAGCCATGGGAAGAAATTCCCCATGGCTTCAACTTTCAAGGGGAAGTTGGAAAGTGGTCAAAGCTGGTGTTGGTGCTGGTGCTAAAGGTAAAACAATGTAATTTAAATGGGGATGGTGGTGTTTAATTGGGTGACGGTGGTTGACCGTTAGTGTTTAAAAAAATGATTTTTTTTCTTCATTATTTGTTTTAAATGGGAAAATGTGGAAAGACGGATTTGCCCTCTAAAAAGTGGGCAACTGCAATTCACATGCTAAATTCTTTTTAGAAGATTATTGTTCAAAGGTCATTGTGCTGCATATTTTTCCAAAGGTTTGGAATAGCAGTGTCAAAAATAAAAGTTAGAGACCCATTTGCACTTTTTTGAAGGTCAAGAACCCGAGTGCAATTCTCTGATTTGTCAAAAAAAAAAAAAAAGGAAAAAGGTGTTGAGCTCCTCATCTATTGGCCCTACTTTTGTCAAGAATTCGCGATGGTCCAACAAAAATGTGGAAAATGAAAATAAATATAAATTAATTAAAAATAAAAAAATAGTCAATTAATTAAAGAAAACCAAATTATTACATTATTCGTAAGAAAAGAACTGCCTCCTCCTTTCTCTCCATTATATAAATGTCCATCTACCCCTTACATTTCTCCCTCTCTCCCCTCTGAAACGATTTTTGTTCTTCATATTTGCTCTCTCAAAAACCTATACATACACTGTATGTATATATATATATCCGTGAAAATTGAAGTATTTATTTTGGCTTTATTTTGTATTATTACACTGCAATCGAAGAGAAGACAGCTTCAGAGGTACGTTTTCTTTGGTCTATGATCATCAATTCCAATATGTATTGATTTTTTGACCTCAGTTGTCTCCTTTGATCCTAATGTTAATCTTCTATATTTATGCTTTTTGGATCTTCATTTCCTTCAATTCTCTGTTAGAATTTCATCCCTTTTTTTAGATTTCGATTGGTTTGTTATTTTGATGGAAAATGAAAATATTTGCCTGTTTAATCTGTTCAGGTGATATTGTATATTGGAGAAGAGATTTCAATCGGTTGAAATGCACTATATTCGGAGACACTTTGATTCCAAAATAGGGTCCCTAGGCCTAGGGTTAGGTTTGTTTTTTGAGTATAGGAAATGGATTTCTGTGTGACAATTTATAGGCTTTCGATATGTTATGCGGGGTGAAAGAATATGGGTCTATTGGGTGAAATTTGAATACTAGGGTATCTTTTAGTTGCGATTGAGTGTGGTGGCGGAAGTGGTAGGTTAAGGGTCAATCAGGTATGGCTGATATTCAGCAACAACTGCAACAGAAATCCGAGAGCACAGCCACTGATGCTCGCTCTGAGTTTGAGAGGGGCTTGGAGGAGTTCATGCGTGGGCGTTATGATGAATGCATGTCCTTCAGTTCGTGCAGTTCTCCACATACGACTACTACTACTGAAGATGAGGAGGATGATGGCGAACAGCTTGTGCGGAGGAGGAGGAGGAGGTCGAATCTTGAGAGTGATGATTTGGCAGAGTCTTCTGCTGCCAGGAGGCGTCAATCGAGGATCTTGAGTAGGTGGGCTGCTCGTCAGGCAGAGGAGATGATCACCACTATTGAAAGGAGGAACCGTGAATCAGAGTTGATGGCGCTTGCAGGCTTGCACACGGTCTCCATGCTCGATTCTTCATTCTTGAGGGAGTCACAGTCCCCAACTTCTAGGCGCCAAGGGAATGTTGAGAGGCTGAGTACCCGGGACTCCTCTATTTTGCAGATGTGGAGGGAGTTGGAGGATGAGCATGCATTGAGTCGTGCCCAGGAGAGGGTAAGGGAGAGGTTGAGGCAGCGGAGGAGCGTGGATTCTAATACAAATATATCCAGTACAAATATGTCAGGAAGTAGAGAGAGTAATAATCAGGGAAGTCTGGAAGGTGCTAGTGAGAACGAGCATGACTTTGCAACTTGGTCCCATGATCAGTTTGGCCCACAGAATGAGAATAGGGATCCTGACAATTCTAGTCGGGAACAATCACCTGATCTAGGGGATGTTGAGAGGGAGAGGGTGAGGCATATTGTTCGGGGATGGATGGAGAGTGGCATTAGTGACCCTTCATCTAATGTTATGCAGGGGAATGGAAGTCCTGGAGCTGAATGGTTGGGGGAAACTGAGCGTGAACGGGTAAGGATTGCAAGAGAGTGGATGCAAATGACAAGTCAACAAAGAGGATCTCATAGTGGACGCAGGGAAGAACATAACAGTGGACTTGGTGCTCAAGTTGACAGTGTCCATGAAAGGTCTGTTGTTGCCCACAGGGAAGGTCAGCCAGAGCATACTCGCACAGACATGTTGAGGTTGCGCGGAAGACAAGCCTTGCTTGATTTGCTTGTCAGGATAGGGAGGGAAAGGCAGGGGGAACTTCAGGGCCTGTTGGAACATCGTGCTGTTACTGACTTTGCACATCGCAGTCGCATTCAGGTGACAACATACTGTTCTGGTTTCACTTAATTTTGTTTCATATAAACAGTATCATTCCAATGTTTAAAGAAGCGCTGATCATGTGCAAGATTTGTCTTTGATTATAGTTGGACAGTATTCAAAATAATCTTTAACTTTTGTTGTTGCAAGTATGCTCAAGTTTTACTTCTATTTGTCAAATTCAGAACTTAAAGTTATATATTTTATACAAGTCAGCACTGTGTAGGAAAGTGATTTCTTAATTGCCCCCATAGGCCTTAACTACTAAGAGTTGCTCAGCATATTAGGGTGTGGAGGCGCTAATGAATTTTTTGGTGGGTTGTCTCCTTTACAAGTGGTATGGGTTTCAGTTCAACCTTCTTGTTCTTGTTGTCATTTTTGGTTTCTTTTTGATAAATCTCAGCTGTGGTTCTAATATCTTACTCGAGACTTCAGTGCTTCGATTTTATTTCTAGTTTATAGGTTGAACCGTTGAAGTACCTATCAGACAAGGTTGGAGGCACCCATAGGCTCTTTTTAGCTGTTTTTTCAATGATTCCTCTTTATTCATCGACAGTGCATTGAGTCCACTTTTTATGATGGGATATTATTACATTATTATTGATTGGTTGCTTATCATGAACTCTTGGAACANTTATTACATTATTATTGATTGGTTGCTTATCATGATCTCTTGGAACACACACACACACACACACACACACACATATATATATATATATATATATAAACGTATGTTTCTTCCTGATCTTCCTTTGGTGGAAATGCTTCTAAAATTGATAAATATCTCACTCTGCAATTAGAACTTTACACTTGTTCAATATCAAGTATCAAACTGTAAGTTCCTGTAAAGACTTGTAAATTACTGTGATTTATTAGCCCCTTACTTTAAGTTAATTTATGCTTAAGCCTTAATGCAAAAAGTTCATATTTGAAGAGTAATTGTGAGTTGATGTTTACTTCAAGTAGTCCCTTTGTTTTACAATAACGTAAGAGTTCACAAGTTGCTTCATCTTTTTTGTATCTTGTGCATCAGAGATCTGTTTATATTGACTCATCATTTATCTCGGAAAATGTTTCTTTGAGCTTCTGGAGTAGTTCACTTGAATTTGTAATTATAATCTCCTATTCTTGTTTCAATTTTCAGTCATTACTTAGAGGCAGATTCTTAAGAAACGAAAGGCCCGATGAGGAAGAGCGACCGCCTTCAAGGGCAGCTAGTGAGTTAAATCAGTTAAGGCAGCGACACACAGTCTCAGGTCTGAGGTATGGGCACTTATGCAAGCCATACGCTGGAACCTTCTCACTTCTTTAAATTTTTGTTCTTCCTTTATTTTAACTTCTTTTGCCCATGCTGGTTTTAGTGTATGTTTTTCCATTCTCGTGCTTGGACTAGTGGATGGAATGAGAACATTATATTCTAGATTTTTGAGTGAAAAACCTTTCCAGTATCTTAGTGTTAAGAGGTATCAAATGATGTTATATCAACTTTCCAAAAATAATGATGGAAGTTGTAGTGACACGTAGGATGTGAAAATCAAGAAATGAACATGATGTTTGATGTTTAATTCGTTAAGCTGGAAATGTTTTCAGACGTTGATGTGAACACATTCTTGGTTATGGGATATTCGTGGACAACAGTAGCTTGCTCTAATTTTCAAGCTTATCTAAGATTCTAGTGCAGTACAGGTTTGTTCATTTTAACAGAGATGAATAAATAATTGATGCGTTTGTAGGATCCATGGAGACGGTATAAAAATAAGAACTATGATGACATAAGTATATGGGTATGGATCCCGTGTTGGATTCTTCAATTTAGAAGTGTACAAGATAGAAACATGGAAGGGAGATTGCCGTGGGAGGAAGTAGAAGTTGCAGTGGGCCCATGGTTGGTACAGCAATAAAATTGGTTATGAGGCATAAAACCAGGCCCATTTAATGCTACACTCCCAAAAAAATACATATAAAACTATTAGTATAGTATTCTAAAAAAAATCATGTTTGAAAGACACCCATTTGCCCATGTCCAAATTTCGGATCCTTATTAGACATCCTTGTATCTTAAGTTTTTGAAGAAAAATGATTTGATTCTAGATGTACACATGCCCATACCCGATTCCGAGCAACATAGAATAAGAGTGGAGGACAGGGCAAGAGAGAGAAAGGGAAGGAGAAAATATAGGAGATTTACAGTTTGAAAAGAGTTTCAAGGAGAAAAGCCATTTTGCTTTTTCTTCAAAAATACTTGATATTTATTTTGAATGAAGATTTTAAACCTAATAATAATGAGTTAATTCCTTTTTGTGTTTGACTGGCATGAGTCAAGGTTGCATGAATGCTCAAATATCTTTGTCACAAATGTGTTTAGAGTTTTTATGTACAACACATGCTGATTGATCTTGATAAAAGTCCACTGACGGGCCTTTTCTTTTTCCTTTTGTGCACCTTATGATTTATTTTAGTAATGAAAGTCCATGATACTAACTTATCACTGTAATCCAATATGTCTGGTCATTTTTCTATATAATATGTTGGAGGAAATTTTTGTAATTTTTATTTGATTGCATGCTTATAAATTTCATCCAGGGAAGGGTTCCACTCCAGATTGGAAAACATTGTTCGTGGCCAAGTAAGCAGTCATCCTGAAACTTCATATAACAATAACAACTGTGATTCTAGAACTGATCAGACTGATACAAATTCTTCACAGGAAGTTCAACATGAGAATAATGACCAATCTCAATCTAGACATCAGGAAATTGATGTTAACCCATTGCCGGGTCATATGGCAAATTTGGATAGCAGCACAGCTGTTCAAAGTACAACTCAACAAGCTATTCCAGGTCAAGGAAGCAACTGGCAGGAACAGATTACTGAAAATGAGAGAGAAAACGTGCAAGAATCAACCTATAACGAGTCTAATGGATGGAGAGATGGCACTTTGCAACAGGAAAATCCCGTACCTAATTGGAGCTTGGAAGCATCAGTAAATGAAGGTGGAGGTCAAAGTCAGCTGGAAGAAGTCCACGAGGGTTGGCGTGATAATGGCTCTCGAGAAGCTATAGATAATTGGTCGGAAGGACCTTCAGACGTTCCAAGAAGGCGGGACTCTCTACCACATAGAAGAGGCACCAGGTTCCACCCTCATGATGATAATGTGTATAGCATGGAACTCAGGGAGCTTCTTAGCAGGTTATTGTCTCACACTGTTATGTGCTCAAGCTTTATAGTTTTTTGGGCTTATCTTCAACTTAGCCCATATTTGGATAATATTCATAAAATATTTATAATCGATCAAATCACTTTTTATTCATACATGTCATGGGACCCACAAGTACTAACTTATCTGATAGTCATTGCTATCTATTTATAATTTAAACTGTTTATAAGCCCTTCCCAAACGTGCTTTTCCTTTTCATTGTAGGAGGAGTGTCTCTAATCTTCTCCGTAGTGGTTTCCGTGAGAGCCTAGATCAGTTGATTCAATCATATGTAGAAAGGCAAGGCGGGTCTCCTATTGACTGGGATCTGCACAGGAACTTGCCTCTTCCAGCATCCCCGGAGAGGGATCAGGACCAACATAATGAGGAGCAGAATGAGGATCAGCATGATGCTATTGGTAGACCTTCATTGGTATTACCATCCCCTCCAGTACCACCATCTCAACCGCTTTGGCATCAGGATTTGCACCACTCCAGTTGGTCTCGTCACCATCGATCTGAACTCGTGAGTTGATTTTTTCTTGTCTTCTCTCTTTTCAAGAATGTGAAGCGCATATAAATTGTTATGTTGATTTGACAATGATATGATATGTCCTTTCCTCAAGAAATCAAGGATATTATTATTTCACAGTTGTTCTTTGTTCAATTAAGACTTTGGATGTCATGGTTGATTATGTGATAGTGGCCAAACAGTTGAGGCCTGATTAGGTTATGGTCCTCGAAAATTTTATTTTGATGATATAGGAATTATACAATGCCCAGGTGTTAATGAATATCTATTCTTTTGAGTACTATATGAAGGGAAGATTTTTGGTCTGTAACTAGTAAAATAACCTTCTCATGATTTTTGGTATCATTCTGAAATTGGATTGATGAACTTAGGCAATGAAATTTGTCATTTGTCGTCTCTTGTGTGAAAATTGACGACAATTTGTCCAGAAGCTACTCAACTTGGTTCTTGCACTTAATATCTGTGTTTATAACTAAAATCTCGTGTTGCTTAAGCAAAGTGGGTCAAAAAATCTGCTTGAGTCGAGCCATACAGTTAGTGAGGTTGATTAGTGTGACCGTCCTTTTAAAATTGTGCTAAGCTGTGGTTCTTCCAGCTTTGGAATCATTTGATTGTTGAATACTAAAGACTTAAAATCTGACTAGTTGTAGTCTTCAATATAAGCAGAACTGAGGTTCAGTTTGGAGTCTCAATGGATCGTTCCAAATTCTTGAAGCCATTAACCATCCCATTATATGCAGAACTGTTGATGAGACTATGATTGTGCAATTTGACATTTGAACTTAATCCTTGCTTCCTAATTATGGGCAGGAGTGGGAGATGATTAATGATCTGAGATCAGATGTTGCAAAACTTCAGCAAGGTATGAACCACATGCAAAGGATGTTAGAAGCTTGCATGGACATGCAACTGGAGTTGCAACGGTCAGTCCGACAGGAAGTCTCAGCCGCTCTTAATCGATCAACTGGTGGACAAGGTTGGTTTGTAATCTTGATGCTATGAACCTGAGTTTCTACCTATTCAAGCCCCATGAAAGCCTTTTTGCCTTTATCATTAGCTCATGTAGCCATTCCTGGTGTTTACGCACCTCACGTTTCAACCGCTGCCTCTATTAACTGCCCTAGATAAGCAGAATGCTGCTTCCGTCCATTGATTACTTTGAATTTTCTGTTGGCGCTCTATCTTATATTGTTTGCTCTAATTGGTTTTATTAATGCATGTGCATACATTCAGGGATAGCAGAGACTTCGGAGGATGGGTCTAAATGGGGTCAGGTTAGAAAGGGTACCTGCTGTGTTTGTTGTGATAACCACATTGATTCTTTATTGTACAGGTATGGTAACCTATTCTATCATGCAAAATTATACGCACTACTATTTTGCACACAACTCCATTACACGCCCATTAAGACACTAGAAAAATATACCAGTTGAAGTCATCTAAAGCCTTTTTGAAGCCAAATGTGCTCATTTCAATGTCACGTTGACAATTTTTTTTGTAAATTGAACCTTTAAGAGTACCGTTCTTGGCTTAATGGGAGTCCACCGGTGGTGAAAAATGTCTTATATGAACTTTCTATGTCAAATCCACGCCATATGGAGAGTTGCGCACTATTTTACGTCACAACAGTTGTTTTTGAGTTGGGATAAATTTTATTTTTGCGGCCAATATATATTTCCTTACATACGTTTCTCTGATCTGCAGATGTGGGCACATGTGCACTTGTTCTAAATGTGCAAACGAGTTGGTTCGCAGAGGAGGGAAGTGTCCATTGTGTCGTGCACCCATTGTTGAGGTGATTAGAGCTTACTCCATACTGTAAAAAGAAACCATAGAGAGAGAATAAAATACGCTAACGGTTGATAAGAGATACGTTGAAGCTCAATCTTATCTGTAGTGTTTAGTCAGCCACTGTTATCCGGATTATATTTGGAAAGCTTTGCATTGTATTAATGGAACCACAAATAGTGTTTAACTGCTTCCTTATTCATTCGTAAATAATATTTCAATTCTTTCCTGGCGAAAAAATAGCAAGATTTGTCAGTGTCACGATGGAAATTGTTGGAATCTCCTCAATTTAATAAATGTACATATTAAAAATATTTACCTTCGAAGAAAAATAATTATTCACGCATGACGACCACAGCTTGTAATCTACAAACTTTTTGTGCATAACGTGCATTTGAGATACAAATATTCTTATCCTCAAAAACAATTCTTTAGCACTCGATTTCTTTGGTATCTTTTGATTGGATTCAATTCTTCGACGAAAACTTGAGGGGTACTTGTACAATCGACAATTGGGTAGGTTAAAAATGTCCCGTCTCTAAAAGTTTAAAGATTTCTTTTGTGGTGTGGCTCATCAACGATACATGAAATTTGGAATCTCAAAATTTAAGACATTGTTTTAGGTACAAAGCAGAAAAAGAAATATATATTGAATTAAGCTATTTGTACCCTTTGATTTATACTTTGGTTTACCCGACCCCACCTCTCCCCTCACGTGGGGGTCGGGTCCCACATCCAACAAATGCGTGGGACCCGACCCCCACGTGAGGGAGGGAGTGGGGTCGAGTAAACTAAAATGTAAATCAAAGGATATATGTAGTAAGGTCGATATATTTTAGATGCACACAGAACATGTGATGTTCATACGTTTGACATCAAACAGAATTTTATTTAGTAGGGGGGCACACACTCTCTCTCTCTACTAATAATTGAACCAAGGTTTTAATTTAAGTTAAGCAGCAGCCGTCTCTGCCTTCATTTCATCTTTAATGGCCATTGCTAACATATCATAGGCTTGAGTCCATGCACCATTCATTTCTTCACTCCATTTATCACCCATTGCCTCCTTAACTGTTCTCAGCAAAGCCACTTTCACAACCTATTATAAGTTATGCAATACACGAAAATGTATTAATTGGTACTACTGAGCGAAGACTATACTTATTTTGTAGAAAAATTAATACCTCGAAGTGAGGATACATGACTCCTTTCTGAAGATGGACGGCTCCCAGCCATTTGAGAGTAGTATCAGCCACCACCACTTTGCCCTTCTCGTGAAGTTGAATAGCCGATTCACACGTCTTTATATATAAATATATTCGGAGAAAAAAAAGTTAATTTACTCGTAGAAATAAGCTGTTACTCAAAAAAATATTTATGTACTCGGATTATTTGAGTGAATTCATCTTGAAGTCCATTGATGGTAAGTTCATTGCATAAAAGATCTTTATGTTGATTCTCATGTATGTTTGTTATAATGGAAAAGTTGTGTACATATGAAATATATAGTTAAAATTAATTGTGAACTTTGATTCGAAATTTTAATTTGATTTAATCTATAATAAGCACGGGCTAAAAATTACTAGGGAACAATACACAAAACCTACATATAAGAATTGTTTTTCAAAACTAATAAATTTGTCTAATTATTTCAAAAATCAGCTGGTAAATAGATTTATTAAATATTAAATTATAATATAATATATATTAATTATTTACACCCCAGACACCCCACCCCCCCCT